TGGCTTCTGAGAACGAAACTGGATCATTATCACTAATGCTTAAGTCAGCTTCTGACTCCTCTAGATATACCACATAATCATTTGGAATAACAGGTCTTCTTTCTCTTTGAGACCTCCTTAATGCTATCTCTTGTGATTCTTCTACAATAGGTTCATTTTGAATCACTAGTTCAGTGTTATGTTGCTCTTCTTCATTATGTTGTGGTGTAACAATAAGAGGAGCAACAACTTTACTGCTAGAAACACAAGTCACAGGAACCTGTACTCTAACTTCTTTAATCTTCATATTTTGTGGATCTGTACTCCCACTGATTTCACCATTTTCAATGAACTTAGCATTTCCAGTTTCAACAATTCTTGTACTATGATTAGGGCAATAAAATCTAAATCCCTTGGACTTTTCTGGATAACCAATGAAATAACCATTGATAGTTCTTGCATCCAGTTTCTTTTCTTGTGGATTATAAATCATTATTTCTGCTTGGCAACCCCAAACATGCAGGTGCCTCAAACTAGGAGTCCTACCAGTCCAAAGTTCAAAAAGTGTCTTTAGAACAGCCTTACTAGGAACCTTGTTTAACAGATACATAGCAGTTTTCAAGGCATACATCCACAAAGATAAGGGTAGAGAAGAATTGCTTAACATGCTCCTAACCATATCCATTAATGTTCTATTATGTCTTTCCGATACACCGTTTTGTTGTGGTGTACCCGGCATTGTGTATTGAGCACAAATACTACGTTTCTCAAGGAGTTTAGCAAATGGACCTGGATATTGTCCAGTTTCACCATACCTTCGGTAATACTCACCACCTCTATCAGACTTAACAACTTTCACCCTTCTGTCTGATTGCCTTTCCACTTCATTCAAGTAAATTTCCAAGGCATCCACTGCTTGAGATTTCTTGTGCAGCAAATAGACATAACCATAACGGGAATAGTCATAAATAAAAGTAATAAAGTATCTCTCTTTTCCGAAAGAATTAACATCAAAAGGTCCACAAATATCAGTGTGCACAACTTCAAGAAGCTGGTTATTTCTTGTGGCTCCTTTCTTTGTGTGTTTTGTTTGCTTTCCTTTTATACAATCCACACAAATATTTAGGTCAGTAAAATCCAAGTCTGGAAAGACTCCACCTCTTACTAGTCTTTCCATTCTTTCTCTGGATATATGGCCTAAACGTCTATGCCACAAGTAAGCGGAACGTTCATTCACTAAATTACGTTTAGTGCCAATGCTATGATGTAGAGTTAAGAGAGTTTCAGCATACAAACCATCTAAATTTAATTTATATAAACCATCACAAAGAGTACCAGTACCAATGAGATAATTATGTTTAAATAAACTAAAACATCCATTTCCAAAATTAAAAGAGTATCCAGTAACATCAAGTTTAGATAATGAAACTAAATTCCTAGATATACTAGGTACATAAAGAGTTTCCACTAAATCTAAATGATGTCCAGTGTCAAGAATCAAGCGATAAGTCCCGACAGCTTCCACTGGAGCTTTCACTCTATTCCCCATAAACACGAACCTTTTATTTGGGTTTATGGCTTAGATCAAATGAAATCCCTGCATTGTGTTAGAAAATGAGTTGTACATCCTGAATCAATCCACCAAGTATTACGTGGAACTTCAGTTAAGTTTGATTCATAACATACATAAGCATTGAGCTTACCCTTTTTCTCAAACCAAGCTTTCCGTTTCAGGCAATTCTTCTGGAAATGACTAGATTTTCCACAGAAACGACATTTATCTTTATCATTATTCTTTTGGATTTGTGCAGAGGCCTCATTAATCTTCAATGGCCCTTTGCCCTTATCATGCTTCTTTACAACCTTCTTTCCAACTCCTTGATGTCCTTTATGGCTCACGTAATGGACTGAATGACTTCCTTGATTCTTTAGCCGTATTTCCTCCTGAACTAACATACTGTGCAATTCATGCACATTCCATTTATCTTTCATGGCATTATAGTTCACTTGAAATGGCTCATACTCAGTCGGTAATGAGTTAACAATAAACTGAGCAAGGAAGCTTTCATCCACAATCATGCCTAAGGACTTAAGCCTTGCAGCAATGTTCGTCATTTCAACGACATGCTCATGCATAGTACGCGAACCATCAAACCTCATGTTGGTTAGTGTACTCATTAATGTCCCAGCAAGAGACTTGTCAGCAGTTTGGGAGCTCTCTTCCATATTTTTCATAAATTGTTTCGCACTTTCAGTTTTGGGAAGAGCGGTCCTTATATTTTCTACTACACTCATTCGCATGAACATTAGGCTAAGTCTGTTTGATCTTTCCCAAGCTTTATAATGGGTCTTTTCTTCATTGCTGCTAGTATTAGTAATATCAGTAGGCTTCTCTTCCTGAAGAGCAAGATCAAGGTCCAAAACACCCAGATGAAATTGAACTTGTTCACTCCAGTTAGAGAAGTTAAGCCCATTAAAAACTGGCACAGACGAAATGCTAGAGTGCAGAATATTGGAAACATTTACTGCATAATTAAAACATACATAAGTGTTTTGAGATATAAATACACACACAAAGTATTTTAATATTAAATGCATACTAGTGTTCTCCTTTGGGTGATACATCAAAATACATGACATTTAATGATGCTAACAATACATAATGAATTGGCAATAAAACATGTACCAATTAGAAATATCTACTACCTTTGGGTATATAAATAAAATAATGGCACATACAAATTACTTACAATTATTCTCATTGATTATAAGAACAATTAATCAACCTTTGAGTGATCCAGAAATGTCTCATAATAATGAATTTCAATACATACCTATAAGCTAATAATAATATATTTAACATCCATTATTCTATAGGTAATTAAAATGAATCATCATTAATTTGGAATTAAATAAAATTTATGAATTTGATCACTTTGGTGATTAACAAAATTCATCACATACTATAATTCCAAAACAAATTGACTTTCAATCACATTAACCATATAATGAACCTTTGAATTATATAGCAATCAACAACTAGTAATTAACGATTAATCAATAATGGAAATATACTGCTATTGGCAATCAATTAATTTCATAAACAAATTTCAGAACTCTTGCCAATCAATCAAATAATTTAGTCAGCGTCTCGTAACCACATACTTTGTAGCCTCACAATAAATAATTATAATATGATTATTGTACGACACATTGAAATCGGCAATTGTTCAATTGTATAACTATGAAATCATACTGCGCATGCCAATTAACATACAAAGTAAATTCTATTATTTCAATGCCAATGAAATACGTGTTACGCTGAGCAAAGGTCATTGACATCGATATGCGGTAATTGAATGGCTAATAATGCAGATAATAATATTTTAACAAATTATTTGCCATAAAATTTCTTGCAGCCATACTCGAAAAATGTTGATTTCAAATACACAATCACGGGTTCAGGTTCATACGTGCAACGAAAATTAAAATTCTCAATTTCAAAATAAAGGTTTATAAAATTGGAAAAATTATTTATGAAGAATCACAAATTTTACAACCAATCTCTGATACCACATGTAAGTTTTTAATGAAAAGGTATATAATTATTTAGAACTTGAAATATCATGATTCTCACATGAACGAATTGACTAACCTCTGTCCATCGTTAAAGAGACAAATAAATCTTTATGACTTTTCTTCTATGTAAGAGAAAAACTGGTTTCTGCCTCTTTATACTTATCCTTCTATTCTCTCTACGTTATTGATGGTGAATAGAGAGAATACGTTACAGTCAGGAAGAGGGCGTGTTTTACACGTTCTTAATCGTAACTGTTTCAATCACTATTTCCATCAAACTTCAATTATTTAAAATTTATGAAACCGTTTCTCATTTATTCAATTAAAATTTAGCCCTTAATAATTAATTAATTACTTATTAGACCCTAGATAAGTCACATGCTCCTCACATGAGACATTTAAAGTCTTACATAAACTTCTTTAAGAGTTCTAATTCTAAGAGTTGGGAGAATTGTGTAAAGTCTTCATGACATTTGTGTGTGTAAAATTTATCTCTTTGGTAAGAGGATTTTTCTATAAATTTCTTCAAGTTAGCAATAATCATGAACTGTGTGACCAAATAATAATTTTAGATTCTACGTTTAAAATCATTATAAATTTTTTTAAAAATTTGTTGTTATAACATGTAAAGTAGATAAGTAACACAAAAAAAAGTGTAAAGAAGTTAAGTAAAAAATAATAGGAGATATGTTGAAAACGTAGGAAACTATAAGAAATGAAGAATAATTTATACTAAAATTTAATCTGTAAGATTTAAAATTAACTTATTTTGATTTAAAATCAATTGTATAGTCAATGAACTTTTTTACCAAAAAATTAAAGCGTGAAATAAATTAATACTAATATAAACAATTTCTTGCGGTGCAACTAGTCATTTGATCCGAGATGGTTAGTGGACCAAATTGGGTCTCGAGTCCAAGGAAATGGGTAGTGAATATTCGATTTTTATTATTTTGTCACTCTATCACATTACGCTCGGTAATTCTAGAGGCAAAAAAAAAACATTTTTAATTCAATTTTTACTTTTCAAAATATAAAAAAAATACCCAAATAAAATTAAGCATTCATAACAAATGATTTTGAAAAATTTTACGAACATTAACTCTTAAGTCTGATTTTAAGTGTCTAAAACAAATTTTTTTATTAAAAAGATAGTTATAATATTTTTATATTTTTTTTAATAAAAACCTATTGTTTTTAATTGTTTAAAATTAATTTTAAGATCTGATGTTAACATTTTTTAATTTTTTAAAAAGTAAACTAAATCTGCGAAATATTGGAATCAAAGTCTGTTACCTTATCAGCATACAACAACAAAACACACAAGCAGCAGAACACATTAAGAAGAAATTGACAGAAAACTGTCTACTTATGTAACATCAATGAGTACAAGTTATAGTATAGTATATAGGCAACATAAATAAAATAAACAAGAAGGCCCTTAACATCTACACCAACAACAACCAAAAGGAATGATTCCTCTTCTTTATGAGCCCAATTCCCCATATCTATCTTATTACCCCAAAATAAAAAGGCATGATAACATTCTAAAGCAATGTTATAATAAAAATGTATCTTCAGCTCATGTCACTGTGCTGGTCAATGTGTCTGTCTATCATAACAAGCTCCTGCAGACCTGTTTGGTAAAATGTCGGTCGCAAACACTATGTTTGTGTTCACTTCAACTATCTCTTCAAACTATATACAAGAGCATTAGGAAAGTGTTTCCATTATAGGCACATCAAGTTAATAATTTAGAGGATTCTTGTTCTACTAAAATATAAATTTGTAAGAATAAGGATGCTGACACCTGTTGCTTACGATGCAGTCAGCTACACCTATTCTGTAATAATTTCTGATAAGCCTCCTACAAAACCAGCTCCTGAGTGTCCATGTTTCCTACAACATTCCCTCATATAGCTCTTACAACATCCACCAACTTGTCTTTTATCCAAACTTATACAAGCATGCACTATAGGGAATTCCTTGCATTCTTTGGAAGAGATCTCATTTCTACAACATGCACTATCTTTTATCTCATTTGCACTCTCACAGCCACACAGAATAGATAATTTTTCGCATGTGTCTGAGCAACCTTCACAACAGGAACCTTTTTCTTTCTCTTCCAAACTTGAGCAACCATGCATTGAAGCTATTTCAACATGCTCATTGGTGATGTCAATGGATATTTCACCTGTTCCATGCTGCTTAAAATCAGAATGACAACATGATTTTTCATGGTTGTCATGATTGGATCCTAACATGTTTCTGTGTTCTTGGTCTTTCAGATTTTCACCACCATGGATCAAGTGGCAATGTTCTTTGGCACTTCCTTTTATAGAAGAGGGATTGGTATGGCAAGGAGAAGTAAGTGAAGTGCTATCATGAACCATGTCAAAATTTTGGTCATGGTGGTGTTTTGTCCCGTGGGACTTGTGTCCCAAACAATTACCATGCTTGTTTACTGCACCATTGTCTTCTGCATTTAGAATCAAGTTTTGGGAATCTGAACAACCCTCCTTTTCAGTATCATGCTTCTGTCCTCCACCTTGATCATTGTCACATCGTCCATGATGACAATGATCATGTTTCTGGAATTCATCACTTCCATTGCATTGATCCTGACTCTTCATGGTATTACAGGGTGGACAAGTTGAAGAACATGTCTGGGAGGCACACTTCTGAGGCTGAGACATCTTTTTCTTGTCTGAGCAACAATCCTTGTGGCTATGATGTTGATTTTCATGTTGATGATGCTTATGATGATGATCATGATGATGATGGTGATGAGAGGAACTACCTGTAGTACCACCACATCCATTTTTGTGGTTATGTAGTTGAGTGGAAGATTTACAACATTTTCCTCCATGTTTGTGTCCTTTCTTCAGAAGTAACATGCTGTTAAAGATGACCAATAGACATGTTCCAACATCAGCAACAACTGCAGCCCAAACAAGTGGATAACCACCAATGGCCAAACCAAGAATCCCAGCCTTAGTAATGACTGACAAAATAATATTCTCTCTCACTTTCCTACGAGCTTTTCTAGCAAGTTTAATGGCTTCTGGTATCTTCCTAATGTCATTTGACATAAGAATTATATTGCCTGTCTCACTTGCCAGTGCAGAACCTGAAATGCCCATTGAGATTCCAATATCAGCTGCAGCTAACGCAGGCGCATCATTTAAACCATCTCCAATCATGGCTGTTGGACCTTCCTTTTTAAATTCTGATATGATTTTCACCTTATCCTCTGGCAAAAGTTCTGCATGGACTAACTCCAGAGAATGCCCCAGCTGTAGATGAAACCACTGTTCCCATTAGTACTTATCTCAGGTTCTATGACTTCAACTTGTCCGCGGGAAGAAGTAAATTCTAACAATAGAGCATATTCAGATATCTACATATAGAAAAATGGATGGCCTAGTAACATTTTATTGCATTATAAAGTAAGTTCAATTCATTTTGTCAAAGCATACAAGTCCACTTTGAAAATATAGAATCTGATACTAGTCAAAATCACTCTGGTGACAGCTTTCCAAAATTTAGCCATGTTATATTCATAAAATTTTATCCATATAACATCACACACCTGCTCCTGTGCTTGCATTGCAGCAGATTGACAATCTCCAGTAAGCATGGCAGTTTTGATTCCCAATGATTTCAACTGTCCTATGGCCTCCTCAACCCCTGACCGGCAAGCATCCGAAAGAGAGAAAAATCCAACCAGGGTTGCTTCGGAGTATATGTATCCTGTGGTCTTTCCTCTTTGAATGTCACCTTCTAAAGTTGGAACTACAAAATATAACCATCACAGTGAACACTTCACTCAGTTCCAAAAAACAGTAAAATAAAGGTATTCACCTCTAGAGAGACTTAGGGTCAATTGTAATTAGCTAAAAGGGATGTTGGAATGAGTTATAGAAATTATATTGGAGTAAGCTCTTTACTTCTGAGAGTGTAAGCTTTAGTCACCTTAGTCCCTCACTTTTTCATATCCCTGTTTAATCTTGACTTTGTAAGAAAAACATTTGCTATATAGTCCCTAATGTCAGCAAAAAATATGGTGAAAAAGAACTAAATGAGGATGAAATTTTGCAAAGTCAAGACTAAACGAGAATTTAAAAAGTGAGCGACCAAAGTAACTGAAGCTCACAATCTTAGGGATTAATATCGGGGTTACTCAATTATATTGTAATATTTTTCAATAAGCAGGATTGTATTACTTGCAGGTTACACCATCATGTGAAAGGCAATCACCTGTTTCAGATCTAGCTCTTGTGGCAATTTTTTTATTTCCAATGTAAAGAACTCTGTCGTCAATTTTTCCACATATTCCTTCTCCAGGAAAATTGTCAAATTCTGTCACCTTTTCTGGCTTTGGTTCAATGGAAAGGGACCTTCCATAATCAACAATTGCTGCTGCCAATGGATGGCTTGACTTGCTCTCTACGCTTGACACCCTGAAAAGATCAATCAAAATTCATTTATCTCAAAACCCAACTATTTATTTAATCTAGATATTCCAAATAGCCTTAAGAAATTTCCTAACAAGATTATATCTGCTTTTATACACACAAGAAAATCTATCACTATAATTCACTAGTGTGTTTTCCATTTTCTTAAAAAGATAAATTTACATTTGAAAGAAAGTTGGACAGAAATAGATAATGTGAGAGGGAAACGAGGGGTATCCTCACCAGTAAAGCAGTGTGTCCAAATCAATGTCATCTGAAAGAGATTGAAAATGTGTCACCACAAATTCACCCTTTGTTATGGTACCAGTTTTGTCAAAAGCCACGACCTTAATTTTTGCAAGTGTTTCAAGATAATCACCCCCTTTGATGAGAAGACCTGATGTAGCTGCTCTCGTATAAGCACAAAAAGTTGCAACCGGCGTTGAAAGGATAAGTGCACATGGACATGCACTTACTAAAACAACAAGTGCAAAGTGAAGCCAGTGTTTCTCGTCATGTACTTTTAATGCAACTGGAATCACTGCTACAAGAGTTGATATGACTACAACAGCTGAAAACATTACCACCAAAAAATAAGGCCAATGAAATTGAATGAAGGCAAGAAAGCAATGAGATGGAACAAAAATGGAGTGAAATAGAATAAAGTTATCATTCATTCATTGGATTTTTTTATAATGAAATAAAAAAAAATGGCTGGCTCGATTTCATATCCCTCAAATTTAAGGGTATGAATATGAGGTATTAAATGGAATATATGAACTATATTCCATCAGGTTCCATTTCATTTCTCATATTTTAAAAATGCAAATAATAGAACCAGTATGATTTGTTCCGTTTTACTTCATTCCATCCATTTCCATCGATCCAAACGTAGCTTAACCCATGCACGCAAAGATTGTAAATGCACCATTTATCTATTCACTTTACATTTGATAAGAACATAGTACGGACTAACTTGTTCAGGTCCAATAATGATTAAAACAAATGCTGGAGATTTTGACTAACCCGGGGTATAAAACTTGGCAAACTTGTCGATCAATCTTTGAATGCTTGTTTTGCTGTTTTGAGCTTCTTCCACAAGCTTTGCCATTTTGGCCACCACACAATCCTCAGCTAGTGAAGTAGTTTTCACACTAATATAACCTTTGAACCAATAAAGGAAACACATTGACTTCAACAACTTGGTCTAGGAAAAAAATATATCTACTTTTTTTTCTTTTTTGTAATGGATCTTGTACCAATGACACAGATAATGCATACTAAGAATTTACCATTTAAATTGATGGTGCCAGCCCATACAGTGGAATCCTTTTGTTTTGCTACAGGGAATGATTCCCCAGTCAATGTTTTCTCATCAACTTCACAGGTTCCATCTACAACAATTCCATCAATGGGTATCACCTCTCCTGCTTTAACAGCTAGGATAGTGTTTACTTTCACCTCATCAGCATCCACAACCTCTCCTGTTTCAGCAATGACTGCTTTTTGAGGGGCTATGTTCATCAATGATGACATTACTGCATTTGCCTGAATCCACAAACTTGGCAAATTTAGATGTTTTACAATACTGACTGAGAATTGAAACAGAGGACCCTGCTTTTGTGTTCTACAGAGCAGTGAAGAACACCAAATGTTAACCATGAGAAAAAATGGCCCCGTTCTTGCACTTGATTGTGACAATCATTATACATAATTATAATGATATGGAATGTGTCTGTGTGTGTGTGTGTTTGAACACTGGTCGCTTCAATTATCTAACAAGGCTTTGCAATAGAACCTTGGTCTACTAATTTCTTGATTAGTTCAAGAATAATACTTGAGCCACTGTTAAGGATTTAAAAAAATACCTTGTGACTTGCCCTTGACTCTAGCCATTCTGCAATTGAGAAGAGGAAAACAATGGTGCCCGCTTCCAAATAATCATTCATAGCAATTGTCCCAATAACTGTGAAGGAAAATAAATATCAATGAAACTGTGTATTCCAAATGTGTAGATGTTATAACAATGTTTTTAATGATTAGAAGTTAATTAGCTAATAATTAAAAGTAATTTCCTTCATTTCTTAAGATTTATATTTAATATAGCAAAGATATACAATACTTAACATGTCTTCTCTCACTAGTAAAGTCAATTACATGAAATAAAAGATGCTATAATGTTCTAATGTAAAGCATGCGTATAAATAAACTATTAACTTCTAAATCATTATGAAACGATTTTGCCTACAATTTTTCTTGGGCTCCTCATGTCTAAAATCACATAAGGCGAACTACCTTCTTTTTTTTATTTTCAGGTGTTATCCTAACTCTAACATGTTTATTTTTATGCTAACTTTTCTTGTATGTCTCTTCATCCAATACAACACTCCCATGTATGCTACATTGAATTTATTCGTCTCATATAAGCAGCAAAGATATAGTTAAAAGAATTTTTTAAGTAAACAATATTTATATTGGATATTCAAATCAACATTATATTTTAACATATATAAGATTTTATAAATTATATTAAAAATAAAAGTAAACCTATATCCACAAAAATACATTCACTCATCTGAACTGTTAATCACATAGTTTAGTTATCTATGCTACTTAAGAATTTCTTATCTAATATAAAGTTTGGTTTAATGCCGTCTGATTTAAGAGGTTGGCATATATCTTATTTGGTATATGTTTCTATCATATGTTTGATAGATTGCTAGTAGCACATACTTTAGAAGATCAAGTTTGTTGCTTTCACTAGTCCTCATAATACAAGTTAGCTACTTCTTACCCATCATTGATGAAAAATAAACATCCAAAATAGGAAGCAGATCCTCTTACGTACACAACACAAAATATTCTGGGCGGTGTGAACTACTACAAAGGACAGTCATAAATACTAGCAATACACTATTTCAATACATTTCTCAACATATTCAGATTTCAAAAAATGTATCGCTAACATTTTTCTAATTTAGGATGGCATAACAGTGTTATGGGCAAACAGTAGCAGTAATATTTGTCTGTTACAAGGCAGATTCGGCAAACGATATTATTTAAGAATTTTGTGTTTATCACTTTGCGTGAAAATAATATATGAAATTATTGAAGATCCAAAACTTAAATAATATATGAATCTTCTCATGTTATTTTCACGTGAACATATTACGTGAAAAAAGACATAAATACAAATATAATTTATACAAGACAAAATTTGGGTGTCCCTATTGTTTCAACCAGTTGTTTTCGGTTTGTGCAGCGAGAATGGGTTTAATGAAAAGCAAGAGTTTCTTTCCAAGAGTAATTGTGAAATCATATAGCTTTATTATACAAATTAGCATGTATCTGTATGGTTAATTTTAAATAGCATGATTATCTTTAAATTTCAGTTAATATAAAATAATGAATAAGGAAAATTAGTTTAATTGCCGAGTTTTACAATATAAGTTATAAATAAAAAAGATATACATAATTAATTCAAAAATATAAATTTAAAGTTTAAAATACTTTTAAAGGAAAATATGCTGAAAATTTTAATACCTCCCAAAGTAATGGAATTTGATTTAACATACAGAGGCAAACAAAAAAAATGCAAGAATTCATAAGTTATAGACATGGACATGGAATGGAGAGAATTTATCGAATGTTTCTATTTTTATTGCTTGCTTTAAGAAAAAGGGGTTTTAAAATCTAAAATATTTCTTAAAAAGTTTAAGATATTTGACAGAAGTGATTTTTTTTAAGTTTATGTAAAGATCATCCTAAATTATGATTAAAGAGAAAAATTGTATTTAAAGAAAATATTCCGTAGTCATTATTTTTCCGAATATATTTGATCCAAAATGTGTTATGGTTCATCCAGCATCTTTACCAATTTTTTTCTAGTTCATCCACTTTGGAAGTTATTTTACTTGAATCTCTAAAAAAAACAAATCAATTGAGAGATTCGAGGCAGTCCAAATATACCCAAGCTGATGTGTAAGTGAATACCCTTTACATATTTCAATTAATTGTTCTCAATTTAATTCCTACGAATAAAATAAGAACCTTTACCCCTTCATAAAAGGCATTTTACTAACTAATGTTATTTAGGATTTTACTAACTAATGTCTTTAGTGTACTGCTAAAAAAATTTAAAATATTTTTTATTAATAATTATTTTGAGATGCATTGATAACATATTTTACTTTTTCTTTCAATTTTTTAATTAGTGTAATTAAAGTATTTGTTAATATTTATCAATTTTTTATTAAATTTTATTAATCTCAATCGTTAAAATTAATTTTGAGCATATAAAATTATTAAAAATATAAATTACATTTTTTAATAAGCATTAGAAAATGAAATCGATTACCTGCTATAATCATGAGAATGTTGATGTCAAGCCTAAGGTTCCGAAAGGAGACAATAGCTTTTAAGATGATTGGGTATGCCCCTACAGCAACTGCTCCGAGTGCCAAATATTTAAAAGGATGGTACACATATTTCAGAATCGATAGCAGAAGTAGAACTCCAGAAGCCACTGAATAAGGGCTTGGCCATCTCTTTTGGTGCTTCTCGTCTCCATACACTCTAATATTTGCTTCAAGTCTTGCTTGATTCAAAGCCTTAACTGTCACCACAATCATTCACAAGTTCTTATTTTATTTATTTTTACTTTACTATATGTGATAGTTTTCCAAAATATAAAATCAAATCCTTTGTATAAAAAGCTAAAGGTGATAAAAAAGCAAAAGGATAAACAGCCTAACTTTATTCATAGTGCACAAATACTATAGGATTCTCCTTTCCCACACGCTATATATTGCCACCGACGTTACGGATAAATTCCTTAATATAAGTAGCATGCCTAAATTGTAGCATAATTTCAAATCTATATACTTTATGCGAATATGATAATGTAAAATACAAAGAATAACAAAGATGGAAAAACATATTTGTTGAAAAAAAAAACATGTAAATAGCCGACCAACAACTCATGTCCCCAAAGTAAATAGTTTTATGAGTATATAGTAGGTATAGTTAATATTAAATCTATCTCAATTTACAAAATTTCATTATTATTACAACTATTTAAAAAATATATACAGCATCACGCTTGTTTAGAGCATCTATGATATATGGGATGCAGCTCTTATTTGTCTCGCCTCATTCTAATAACTTTCATTTGTTAAATTTTGATATAGCTTATTTTAGAAAAATAATCTTGAAATTTTTAATGTTAAAATTGGATAATAATATTTTTAACGTAGAGTTTAAAAAATGATTTTATTTAAATAATAAAATAAAGCCACTTTTTAATGTAAATGCAGTTTCTGAAAATAATCAATTGTATTCAATGAAAAATTAAAATACTCATTTTAGTAAAAAAATAATTAACTCACGGCAGAATTAATTTCAAGAAACCAATATCTAAAACAAACAAAGTTCGCAAACCCATCTTATTCACAGCAAACATGTTATTTGTGGTATCTAAACAAGCACATTCAAACGCATTTTTTCCCTTCCAAGTGATAAAAAGTTTAGATAAGGGTGTATTTCCTTTTTCATGGGTAATGCATCTTTGACAACAACACGTTGCGTTTTGAGCAAAATGAAACTTTTTAAAAAGATGATTTTAGTGCTCTCGTTTCATGGAAAAAAGCTAGAAAGGTACGCTAGATCATCAGTAAAAGCAATCTTCGTATCCTAGCTTTTAGCACCGCTAATGACCAAATAAACGTTTGGCAATTACTTCAAGAAAAACAACTAATTTAAAAAATAATTAATTTACATTACTAATTAATTACACAAACCTCGTATTCATAATTAACAAATCTAAACACGCAACAGAATCTTTCATCCCAAATTCGATAACCATTACAAAAGTTAGGGGATGGAACAACAATGTGGGGTGGTCCAATCGATGACAATTAAATATTGGCATTCCATGCTCCATCCCATGTGATATATATGGATGTTATGTATGATATGACTCACACTTCTCGCTACATATCATGATTGTGGCACAGAACATCAAAATTAGGATAAAGTATTTTGAGAGAAGAATTTAGAATTTACCAATTTGAAGTTGCGAAATGACAAGAGTATCATGGACAACAATGACGGTTCGTGAAGGGACAATGACTGAAACCTCTTTGATACCTTCAAGAGGTTTCAGGATGTTCTCAATCAATGGTACCTCGGAAGAGCAACATAAACCCAACACATCGAAGTAGCTCTTTTGCAACTTTTTCCCTCCCTTGTTCTTCTCTTGGGAAGACATAAGTAACCCTCCAAAGTTTGATCAAAATACCTGCAACCCCAAGAAAAGGAAACAGTACCCAAATGAAATTCCCTTTGGATTCAATAAGAAAATTCTGAAAAAGGGTCTGAATTTGGTTTCTTTGCAAGAAGTTTTAGAAAAATGATTACGAAAGAATGATCATATATTCATTTGTGTAGCAGTCTAGAGGACAAGGAGAAAAAAGGGAAAAAGAAAATAGAAGAGAATCAGAGAACAAGGAGAAAAAACAGGGGCGGTGACAGTTAATAATCATGTTTCATGTGAGACTAAAAACATGTTCCAAACCAACTTAGGAACATAAACGGCTGAGACTTAGAAAAGCGAACCACCTTGTAAGCAGAGAGATAGAAAAGGAAGTTGGTGATGCTAATGGTATGAAGCAACGGAAGAGGAATGGGAGCTTAAGTAGGCAAACGCTTGGTGGGGTATAAAAGGGAAAGAATAAAAGATGCACTGTGATTTGATAGGACGTCGACACAAATTTTACATTAAAAAATCAATATATTGGCAAATTTCAAGCATGAATTTGCCTGCCAAACTTCAATAATTTTATATTAGCAAAATAAAAAAAACTTGAATAATTTTTCCCCAATGAGATTTTTATTTTGTGTATATGGGCGTGTGAGACAAGGGCACGTAGTGGAGAATCAACGAGCTTAATGGAATCCACCGATGAATCCACATTTTCATGTTATATTTAGTACTGTTGGGTGTAAAACATTCTAACTAAAACACTATCTTTCTTTGATATACGCCATAAGGTACACTCACATGCGACCTGAATTTTGGAGTTTTGCTTATCATACACAGAAGCTATGATAATAATTAGTTTATTGCGACTGTACCTTTCCTAAAAGAGAAAGAAAATAGTTGGAAAAATCAAAGAAATATTCAAAGGTTAGTTTTTTCAATGTTTGTTCCTAAATAATTTAGATTTAAAACGTATGCACGTGAATAAATTTATTTTAAAAAATATTATTATTATTATTAAAAAATATTTGGTACACATAATATCTTTTTCAAATTCCCAATAGTTCTTTTTCCCACCGACTTTCTCTTTTTCCCTTCCTTTAGAAGCACAAATTCCAGTACATTTTTGCCGTTATTAATTCTTGACAGCTTCAAAACTAAATATTGTGAATAATAAGATTGGGCCAAAACTTTCCATAGCAAATTGAATAACTTTTTTATCTCTTTTATACTCCATATTGTTGTCACAGCACGACGACATATAATATATTATATATGAAAGATACATCAATTTATCCAATTTAAATTTGCTGTTATTATCAACAAAGTGGATAGTTGACGTCAATTCATTTTCAAGAAAATGAAAGAATACTAGCACGGCAAGCTATATAGCGTTGCTCAACCTTTTTGAGATTGTTCTTATGCATTATGCATCACAGCGCCTATGGATTAAGAATATAATTTTAAAATATAATGTAACAGAAATAACCATGGATGTCGCTCTAACTGCAGAGTGTAATTAACCTATCAAAATCTCACTATGAGTGAGTGGATGATATAATTTGAAATTTTTTCTTAAAATTTAATACTAATAATTTTAATTTATAATATTATATAAAAAAATATAACTGATATAGTATGTAAAATAATGTAAAATTTTACGTGAGTCGTTATAATTTAATATATAAGAATGAATAATTCCAAATCCTCTACTATAAAGGTCAATTATTTAAACAAAAACAGTTCAAAAGGCAGAGAGAGAGAGAGAGAGAGAGAGAATCAAATGGGAATCGGGTGCTTTAGGTGCACGTAAGTTAGCAAAAAGAAATTCACATGGATTCCGGAACAAATTTTAGGTTGCAGTATATATTAATAAAATTAGAGTTGTGTTGGGGGTGATGCTTTGGTTACTTTTCATTAAGCACTTCAATGATATATGATATAATTCACACTTTATCTGAAAATAAGTTGAGTTCAGCCTTTGTTCAGACTTACAATTTAACTTAAAATATTATTGAATTTAACATATCAGACCTTAGACAAATGTATTTTATATAAATTCCTTAAATTGCTCCCTCATATATCTTTTTATAATCAAACATATGGGATTTGATTTAACGGTGGAGCCACGTAATACTGTGGTGGATTGGAGATATAAGAGAATAAATTAATTACACGCAACTTATTAAATTAGTTGTTGATTAAGAAGTAAACTTGAATGGTTACTATTTATTTACATCATTCTTCTGAACTTACTTTAAATTTCTGTTGATCTTGATACCAACCAAAATTGACTTAAAAATACATGAACAGCGATATATTTAAATATGTTTGAATAGTTTTTCTTCAGTTTAAAATAAACTTCAAACCGAACTGTTAAAAAGAAAATGGTAAGAATAAGAATTATACGTACCTTTGACGGAAAAAGGTTGATGAAATCCCAGAGTTTGTCTTGGGTATGAGATTGAGAGGAAGGAACGGTGTGCAGGCGAAAACAACCTTCTCTTCCCTTCAAATAACCTTACACGCGAATATCTTTCTGCCTCGAAACTCCAAACAATCGATACTCTTCGTATACTCCGCACTCAATGACCATGCACATTTTTTAAATCTTATACTCTATGCGTTAAATATATTTACTTTATGTAAATTCTTTTTTAATATATGTCATTTTAGTTTACATATATCACTTCTAATCTTTTTATTTATTTATTATTTTCATTTTAATTAAAAAGATACATTATTTTACATCTTAAGTATTAAACATGATAAACTAAATTTAGGTTGAACAAAAAAAATTAATGACAAACCATACCACATATCCTGCTGCTCGCCAAAAAAATATTTAAATAAATATAAATCCAATATAACAAACTTTTAAATATCGTGTAACGACATCATCAACTTAAATTATTTAAATAATTAATTTTATTTTAAATTTTAATAAATTATATATTTTTTAAAATAAAAGCAATAATTATTAACAATTTCAATTTTAAATTAATATTAAATTAAAACAATAAATACAATAAAATTCATCTAACATAATAAAAAGGAATTTAGCATTGAAAATGCTATTATTTAATAATATTTTAAAAACACTTCAGTTAAAAAATACTCTTAAAAGTGATATTATTCAAAAATTATTTTATTCACAAATTGTATATATAAGTATTGATTATTATAAATCCTCATCCTTTTCTCTTCTCAATATTCAACTCATTATAATGAGTATTTCTCTTTTTGTATATGTTTTTTTTTTAAAAATTTCTTCTGTAGTTAAAAAAGAGATAAAATTACTAGACAAAATTAACGATATAATAAAAAAAAAATATAAAGTAAAATAATATAGCTCTACTGCAATTTATGATAACAAGTATACGACAGTTTTAAACAAGCAGATTGAATTAAAATTATTAGAGAGAGACATTAAATCATTCAATAAAGTGTGGATTGATAATCTGGACGATTTATGATTTGACAGGGACACTCTTTTATAATGTTGTTTTCTTTTCCTAATTTATTTTTTATGATTTTGAGTTTTTTTTCCTGTTAAAACTTTTTGTAGTTGTTTTATTTTTTAACGTGCTTCTAAAATATTTTTCTCTATTATATCAGTATATTACTTATCCAATTTTACATTCCCATGTCTCTTTTAATTACAGAAAAAGTGTAAAAAAAAAATATTGAAACAAAACTCTCTTTTTTATTTGAATTGAAATTTGAACAGCAGTTTCTCTCTCTTTCTCTGTCCCCTTTTTGTCCACCAATTTGTTTGACTCACTCACTTACTTTTTCGGTCACATTAATTAATACCCAACCCTTTGCTGAAGCCATCCAAAAATGGTAGGAATCAATGAGAAGAATTCCAATAAATTCGTAGGCCCATTGATATTAAACCCCCACACCTGAACCAAGTGACAACTATCTTTCTATCCCAAATCAATTCAACTTAACTAAAAATTATTAATGTGACCCATGTTATTCTTATTACATCATATATCAAAATTTTATAATTAAAGGACTTCTTTTTTTAAAAAATAAAGAATTTTTTAGTATAATAATAAAATAATCATTTTTTTATTTGAATTAAAAGAAGCATGTTTTATAAAATGTTTTTTGTTAAAAAAATATAACATTTAATTAAAATATAATGAAATTTATGATATTTTTTTACTTGTTAACTTGTGATACTGGACACCTGCTAAAAAATTATAAATTAATTTGTAATTTTATATTTTCTAATGTGAGAAGATAAAAGATTAAATAATTTGCCTTGGACGTTGCGTAAAAGTCATCAAAATGAGACAAAAATGACATAATAAAAATAATTCAATAAATACTTAGAATAAATTATAAAAATAATAGATGTCTCTCACATGTTTTAATATATTTTATTAGAAAATTAAATTTCATTTTAATGAATTTAATAATTAAGTTTATTAAATAAAAGTGTAATAATTAAATTGTTTCTGAAATTATTTTTGAAACTTCTAAGCAATGTCTTTATCTTTTGTGTGTGTTCGTGGTGGAGTGATGTCAGAAAATAAACCATTGGGTATATCGGAGGCATGAGAGGAAGACAAGGGGATAACGCTTAATTGAAATGTCAAACTCAAAACAATATTTACAGTGGCAAACACTTGATTAGAGGAATAATTATGATAATGAGTGTGTATCTGCTGCACAATTTTTGTGCACCATCTGATGAGAATATTTTTTCACAGAAAGTTCTGTTTAGTCTATTCCTGATTATGGCATGAAACTATCATAACAATGATGACTAGACCCAAAACGTGAACTAGTAAATAATATTTTAAATGATTCAGTTTGATTTATTTTTTTTTATCTCATCTCCTACAGTTAGTTTTAAATATTTAAAAATAATAAATTTTTATTATAAAAAATAAGATTGTAATAAATATTTTTTACAATAAAAAATAATTAGTCTCATATGTTTAATTGAAGTTAGCAAATTCATTTATTTTTTCCTTAAGAACAATGATATTCACATAGTGAACCTCTTCATAGGTTTTATACAAAATTTACAATTATCACCAATTCACCATCCTTGTTTTCATTTTTATTATTCTTTCTTTCTCTTCTTGCTTTCATATTATCAAACATCCTTCTCTCTTGCTGATGTTTGTGTTTATTAGTTTGTTTAGTTAAGTGTTAGGAATTACATTGCATGAATCTCTGTGCAGCTAAAGATGGATTGAACCATTTTTTTCCTACAGTGTTTGAAACACTCTTTCACATTGTTAAGAGAGTCTTTCTTTTTCCCAAGATTTTTAGTAAACTTTACAAGTAATTTAAAAAAAAAAGAAAAGAAAAAGATGGCCACTGCAAGATATCTTTTTCAAGATAATGTAGCATTCCTCACT